AATCTTGCTTGTCCCTACTTACGATGCATTATTTCGTAAAGTCATAACAGGATTGGGGCATTCGCATATATACCAGGTTACTGAGGTATAGGTACCTCAAAACTGTTATGACTTTTATAAATAAACGATGCTGCATGGGGGCTAAGCAATGTGAAAACAGTTCGGCCTCCATGCAGTGATTTAAACAGGAAAAAAAAAGGGTGCGGCAGAGCCGACTGACGAGTTTTGAWGGGTTATAAAAAACGAACAGTAAAACTTAGAGAAAAAAACTTTTTTATTAAAATAAGTATTGAATCCCATTTTTAGAAATTATTGTTTGAAAATTATATCTCGAAGATGGCGGCCGTCAGCATCAATACACTGTTGTAGACGATCTCTGAAGCTCTCATATGATTTTATGTTGTGATGTTGGAAACTKATCTGCAGCATAGGTTGGAGGAAATGGCTGAAGACCATGATTTAGAGAATGTATGGTTTCAACAAGACGGGGCTACAGCACACACAGCTCGAATTTCACTTGGTGTATTGCAACAAATGTTCCCTGGGCGGTTAGTCTCTCTAAGAGGAGACATAGGCTGGCCAGCACGGTCTCCAGATTTAAGCATGTGTGATGTTTTCTTCTGGGGCTACCTTAAGGATAAGGTTTTCAGACATCGCCCACATAACATAGAAGRCCTTAAACAGAAAATCACCGAGGAAATTGAAGCCATACCAGTCGAAACGTGCCGAAAATCATATGAGAGCTTCAGAGATCGTCTACACCAAAAAATATTCAGGAACTAGTGGAATACCTAAAATAATTCGGGACCCAATCAGTATAGTACCTATAAAAATCCGGGACCCAACTAGTATAGTAACTGCGATTAGCCCCTAATACTCGGAACCCAATTCGGATGCGCCATATCATGATTGTAAGTATAATTTTATATCTGATTTAATATATTWTTTTAAATTCYAGGTAACAACTTGTATGGTTACGCAATATCACAATTCATGCCATACGGAAACCTTAAGTGGGTTAAACCAAAACTATAGGGCTTTAWTGATTTACACAACAAATCACCAATCGGACCGATATACGAGGTTAATATATCATATCCAAAAGCACTTCATGACAAGGATAATGACTTGCCATTCCTACCGATAAATAGTATTCCACCTGGGTCAAAAGTTA